TGCTAGAGTTGGTATCATTAGCCTTTCATTCTCTTAACTGATGGTTTTAGCTGTCCTCCTCCCCCAGCAGATGACATGGTGGAAGGTATGCTCGCTTCATGAATTGTCTGGAAAGGGGAACTACAGATGGGTATGCTTAGTGTTCTCCTCTCTCCAGTGTGCCATATCTGTCACCAGTGTGCACACTATCAGCCAAGAAAGAAAGAGATGTCCAATATAGTTTTCTGAAGCTGTCTCTATCATGCTACTAGTGACTGGAAGAAATTCTTGCAGATAATTAGATAAATTATTGACAGAATTGAAAGAGCACTGGAGCTTTCCGGTCTGAACGATGAAGTATTCCTCAGGGGGAACAGACCCTGTAGTTCATTTCCAGTTTGTGCTGAATCTTAGTCACTTTGACAAGTGAACTCTAGCACTTCCATTATCTTGTTTTTATCTATAGTAAACGCTAGGAGAGCTAGTTCAGAATAGTTGACTCATCTTTAGCTGATGAAAAAATTACTTGCGTTGTGCACTTGGTTGTGGTCGGAGAGAAAGAATAGTAGGCTGTATAAGATTAAAAAATTCCATATACTTCAGGGCTGCTTTCACATCAGTAAATTAAGGGTCCAAAGCTCTGAATGTATAGATATAAACTGTATGTTTGCCAGTTAGTCTAGATGTGTGTGTGTGTGAACGTTTACATAGGAACAGTAGTATGTAAAATATAATTTATAGATTTTTGAATAAGGCTGATCACACTGCTTTTTTTTGGGGTGGGAGGAGGAACTCACAAAAATGGATCAAATGTATGGATAGGCGTGACACTACACCTGTGAGAATTGAGGTTTGACCAATAGGCTAGGGCATCCTTCCTCATTCTCAAAACCAACACTACAGGAAGAGATAAGAGCCAAAGGATAGGTACAAGTCATTTTGGCAGCAAAAAAAGGCTGCAAAAACAGGTGGGGAGGTTTCCGGGACGATGAAGGAAGAAGAAGGGGTGGGAAAAAAGAGAACAGGGTGTTAACATCAGAGAAAACGAGAGAGAGAGCAACAGTAGAAGCAGGTTTGCAGGTTTGGATTTGTGACAGGAATCTAAGTAGTAAATAAAATGAAAACATGCAAATATTGACTTGAGCGTCTAAAACTGTCCCCGGATTCTGGTGATCTGAGCTTTGTACTCATGGGAATGGAACCCTTGCTATGGAATTACAATCCTACATCTGGCAGAGCAGAAAATAAAAATCAGAATGAAAACAAAATAAATCACAAATGAAAGGTCTGTATCACAAAGTTGTTGGACTTTGTCTTGTGGCAGTGAATTCCACAGGTTAATTATATACAGCATGAAAAGTGTTTATTAATTTTAAACTTTTTCTTTACATTTTTCATTTTATTCTCATTTATTCTTGTATAGGCAGAGAGCATAAATGGGAGTGCCAGGTTTCCTTTCTTTTCATTATTTTGTGTACCTCTCCAACCTCTCCCTTTTTGTTTTTGGGGACACTGAGCTCTTGAGTCTCAGAGTAAAAAATAATTGTAACCAACCCTGATGATGAGAGTGTACTTTGTGCTGTAGCTTACTGCTAGCATGATTTTTTTTCTCCAAGGTACAAGTGTCCTATATAACTGCACACACCCGCTCATTAAAAATAAATTATATTACATATTCAGAAGGCTATATCTATAATGCGGCTATTAGAATTATTTACTTATGAGATTTGAAATTTCTCCCTTGAGGTACAAGGCCTTCTTATCAAGTATGTATAAATTTGAATGTCACACTGAATTTTATATTTATATAGAAAATGTATATCCTGACTACAAAAAGTCCTGTTGTTGCTACCTGTGGTAGCAATAGTGAGAATGCTAATGTAGGTAGGCTTTCTGAGGCTATGACTGGTACTTAGCTTCAAATTGAATCATTCTGAACATAGCAGATATAAAAGACACACTACTGTTCTTAAAAAGCAAAAACAAAATTGGAACCTTTTCTATGTTGGCACTACCATCAGTAGAACTTAACCAGTGGTAGCAAAAGTATGACTTATTTCTGGGAGAGAAGACTAATGTAAACAAGGCCTTAGTGATTTGCAGGGTGGCTCGTCTTTAGGTTAAGCGGTACCAGTAAATGCTCTCAAAATGCCCCTTAAAGTACTTATGTTTGCCCTCAAGTAATGACACTGACCCACCTCTGAGTTTGTGAAATGCTAAAATCCAGAAATTCTCCACATTTTTCGTGTACACATGATGTGCGTATGTTATGTGTCCTGTCAAAAATTCTCCATGTTTTCTTTATTCACTGGAGGTCACTGCTGTTTGCGTGCACAGAGTAGAGACAGCTTAAATAATTCAGTGAGCTATGAGAGAAGCACAACAGGCTGTGCACGCTAATTGGCTAATTAAGTCACAGCATTTAAGACTAGGACAATTGTGATTAAATGACTACTGCAAATGCATCCAGAGGTTTTCTTTCAAATTGGGAGGTATTAATTAAAAAGTATAGCCAGAGGACCCACTAGTGACAAGAGTCCCAGCTGAAGTCTGGGAGTACTGTGCTCCATTTCCATCCACATGAGGCCTCTCTAAGTGTCATGGAAATCTGTCATCTTTTTCTATAGATATCTCTATAGTTTTGGGTACCAAACATAGAAAATCTTGACTCCTTTCTCTTCTGTCTGTTTTTATTTTTTTGAAAATTAACTATTAATTATTCTCAATTTGTATAGTTGGAAATGTATATCACAAAAGATTATGCTCTAATAAAAGTGTTAGTCTCTAGGGTGCCACAGGTACTCCTTTTCTTTTTGTGGATACAGACTAACACAGCTGCTACTCTGAAACCTGTCATACAATTCTGAGTTTCAGAATAGGGTGGGAAGGATATATCAGAGTACTTGAGACTTCTAGGGCCAATTTTTGCCTCTGAAAATGAGCAGCTGAATCATAGAAAAATCGGGTTGGAAGAGACATCAGGAGGTCAGCTAGTCCCAACCCCCTGCTCAAAGTGAGACCAACCCCAACTAAATTATCCCAGCCAGGGCTTTGTCAAGCCTGACCTTAAAAACTTCTAAGGAAGGGGACTCCACCACCTCCTTAGATAACGCATTCCAGTGTTTCACCACCCTCCTAGTGAAATAGTTTTTTCCTAATATTCAACCTAAACCTCCCCCACTGCAACTTGAGACCATTTCTCCTTGTTCAGTCATCTGCCACCACTGAGAACAGCCTAGCTCCAGCCTCTTTGGAACCCCCCTTCAAGTAGTTGAAGGCTGCTATCAAATCCCCCCTCACTCTTTTCTTCTGCAGAATAAATAATCCCTGTTCCTTCAGCCTCTCCTCATAAGTCATGTGCCTCAGCCCCCTAATAATTTTCATTGACCTCAGCTGGACTCGCTCCTATTTGTCCACATCCTTTCTGTAGTGGGGGTTCCAAAACTGGATGCAGTACTCCAGATGTTGCATCACCAGTGCCGAATAGAGGGGAATAATCACATCCCTTGATCTGCTGGCCATGCTCCTACTAAAGCAGCCCAATATGCCGTTTGCCTTCTTGGCAACAAGGGCACACTGTTGACTCATATCCAGCTTCTCATCCATTGTAATCCCAAGGTCCTTTCTGCAGAACTGCTGCTTAGCCAGTCGGTCCCCAGCCTGTAGCAGTGCATGGGATTCTTCCGTCCTATGTGTAGGACTCTGCACTTGTCCTTGTTGAACCTCATCAGATTTCTCTTAGCCCAATCCTCCAATTTGTCTAGATCACTCTGGACCCTATCCCTAATGTCCAGCATATCTACCTCTCCCCCCAGTTTAGTGTCATCCACGAACTTGCTGAGGGTGCGATCCATCCTATCATCCAGATCATTAATGAAGATGTTGAACAAAACCAGCCCCAGGAACTACCCCTGGGGCACTCCGCTTAATACCGGCTGCCAACTAGACATGAGCTGTAGATCACTACCTATTGAGCCACACTATCTAGCCAGCTTTCTATCCACCTTATAGTCCATTAATCCAATCCATACTTTTTTAATTTGCTGGCAAGAATACTGTGGGAGACTGTATCAGAAGCTTTGCTAAAGTCAAGGAACAACACGTCCACTGCTTTCCCTTCATCCACAGAGCCAGTTATCTCATCATAGAAGGCAGTCAGGTTGGTTAGGCATGATTTGCCCTTGGTGAATCCATGTTGACTGTTTCTGGCTAATTTCTAGTTAAACTAAGCACTGTGTGAATGTGATGTCTCATTTTATTTAATTCCTCTTTTAACATGAATAATTTAAGGAGGGCAAGAGTTAAAATCAAGACCCTTTATGTGAGGTCACAGATTTTCATCCCTCTCCCACCTCAGTGTGAGGTTTGAAATTAGGTTACAGATCTCTCTGAAACTGACAAGCTCAAAATGTTAAACACCGTGCTTGAAGCTTTGTTCTTGCTCTCTTGTATTATGCTTAGGATTTTTGTTAGATTAAAAGAAAAATCTCTTTACTCCTCAAGATACTTATAGCAATGTTACCATTTCAACAGGATCAGATTAACCTTTCTCAAATATGCTGGAATTTAAAAAAAAAAACAAACTTTTTTATTGATAAGTAATTAAGTAGGGTGTGTCAAGGAATTTGAAGTTGGCAATTGTAAAAAGTGTGAGATTGAAGATATAATTTCCCCCCAATGGAGACTTGAATGGGCAGAGTGGTCATTGATCTGTTTGGCCTCACCTGCACTGGGAAAATGCCTCATGTTAGAAAACGTGTTAACTAATCTGTTTTGATTAGCATGATATTGAGTATAATTTAGCAGTAATAGACAACTCATGTTTAACATTGCATTCACTTAAAAAATGTCAGCATGTTTTCTAACATAATGCACTTTAGGAGTGTAGACATAACCTTTGTTAAAACCTTAGAACCTTGCAAGCTAACATATTTCTTAAGCTGACAGCTGCCTTGAATACTGTTCTTGCACTCCCCTGTTTTGAATCTTTTCCTAATTATTTCTTCTGTTCTCTTTTCCAGAAAGACGAGGTGTACCTCAACTTGGTGCTGGACTACGTTCCTGAAACAGTATACAGAGTTGCCAGACATTATAGCCGGGCCAAACAGACACTCCCTATGATCTATGTCAAGGTAAGAAATTATAATTATAAATTGAAATAGGAAGTTTGCTGTAACACAGCATTTCTAATTGTTGTTAGTTTCCCCTAACCTGAACTTTAAATTCTCACACTAAACTGCAGGGTAGATTAAACAGTGAAGGGTTTATTTCAAGGCAGCAAAATCTATAAAAATGATTATAAGAGGAAATTATAAAAAATGATTATAAGAAGAAATGATTATAAGAGGAAATTGTTGGAGCCTTACTGTGTATATAAAAAATTTAAGGTAGCAAGTTTCAGCAACACTCTGTGCTGCTGTTTAGACTCCTACATTTAGGAGAAATGATAACCCAGCAGCAATGTTTTGTCCCAGAGACAAATCAGTGTATCTGAGCTGTTGTTGAAGTGGTATGTATACAATTTAACTGTATGCCCTCCAGAGTTTGCCCAGTAATTGGTTCTTATGCTATTAAACATTTTCAGGTGTTTGCAATTACAATAAGATCATATCCTGCTTAAAGGTTCTTATAAGTTTAAAAGCTCATGGCTTTCCTACATACACACTCTGGGGAAGCTGGTTTTACCTGAGCACCTTCTATCCTGTGAGAAGCGAAGTGGTATCAAGGCCTTGGTAAATTCTCCTGCTGGGGAAATGACCATTTTGGGAGCTGTGGGCACTGTCATTCCTTCTAGACCTGGGGACTGTTTTTATACTCTCTTTCTGACACCACAGGCTTTTCTTTTCATCCTACTATTGATAAAGAATATTGTCTTGATGTCAGGAACACTTACTAATTTACCTCAAAGACATCTCAAAGGCAAGAAGAAAGTCAGATTACATCTATCTGTAGATTTTTATTGATTTGATTGAAAGGATAACTTAGCAAGGTAGGGTAGTGTCAGTTTTATTACCAAATAAGTCAAAGAAACGGTTAAGCCTCTTCGGAATTGTCCACAATGTGAATTCTGGCAGTGGAGGTATATACTAAAATTATACATATAAAGTATAACATACTTTACTCCACTTAGTAAGGAACAATCAGTTGCACACATACAAAATGGGAAATGACTGCCGAAGAAGGAGTACAGCAGAGAGAGGGATCTGGGGTTCATAGTGCTTCACAAGCTAAATCTGAATCAACAGTGTAACACTGTTGCAAAAAAAAAAAAAAATCAAACATCATTCTGGGATGTATTAGCCAGAGTATGTAAGCAAGACACAAGAAGTAATCCTTCTGCTCTACCCTGCACTGATTAGGCCTCAGCTGAGAATTGTGTCCAGTTCTGGGTGCCACATTTCAGGAAAGATGTGGACAAATTGGAGAAAGTCGAGAAGAGCAATAAAAATGATTAAAGGTCTAGAAAACATAACCTATGAGGAAAGATTGAAAAAATGGATTTGTTTAGTCTGGAGAAGAGAAGACTGAGAGAGGACATAAGTTTTCAAGTACATAAAAGATTGCTACAAGGAGGAGGCATAAAAATTGTTCTCCTTAACCTCTGGGGATAAGACAAGAAGCAATGGGCTTAAATTGCAGCAAGGGTGGTTTAGGTTGGACATTAGGAAAAACTTTCCAACTCTCAGGGTAGTTAACGACTGGAATAAATTGCCTAGGGAGATTGTGGAATCTCCATCATTGGAGATTTTTAAGAGCAGGTTGGACAAACACCTTTCAGGGATGGTCTAGATAAATTTAGTCCTGTCATGAGTGCAGGGGACTGGACTAGATGACTTCTTGAGGCCTCTTCCAGTCTTAGGATTCTATGATACAGCTTCTAACATTATATAATATGGAAGACAAGAAAGTAGTAATGTAAAATGACGACAACAACAACAAAAAATACAAATTGCATCCAGTTGTATTCTGAGATAAAGGTTGTCATACTAAATTTTGTATATACCAGTTTTTGACTCATCAGGTAATAAAGAACTCTTAGACTTTTTGGAGAAAACTTACAAAATGCTTGTATATTTATAAAGGGAAATTCAGACAACAAATTTGACTTGTTTGTAATTATTGCATTTTAAAGTTAACATCTCCTAATGGTGTATCTGGGGTGCTATAAAATAACAAAAACTAACTTGAACCTGGACTCCGGTTGGCAGGGGCCAGCAGACGGGAACCCCAGTCCAGCAGCGGGCTGAGTCACTCAGCCCGCTGCTGGTCTGGGGTTCCCGTCTGCTGGCCCCTGCCAGCCAGGGTCCCGGCCACCAGCCCCGCTCAGCCCACTGCCAGCCCAGGGTTCCGTTCATCTAGGCAGGCAGCGGGCTGAGCGGGGCCAGTGGCAGGACCCTGGCTGGCAGCAGAGTGCCACTAAAAATCAGCTCCCATGCCGCCTTTGGCACATGTGCCGCAGGTTGCCGACCCTGGACTAGAGTTTTGAGTAGGGGAAGAGTGGATACTTCTGTTTAGTGTGCTTAGTTGTTCCCACTCCAAGCAGTGGTGACTGTGATCACCTTCTTCCACCCAAAACTCTGGGTGGAGGGAGGTGGGGATGTTGGGACACAGCTCAACTGACTGGTGGAAAGACAGCATACAAGAAACACTGGAAGTGGGGTACAGCAGGGAATTGTTCTAGAGGTTAAAAGTAAAACCAGAGAGGGATGGTCTTTAAAATTTCCCTCTGGATGTATTGGACCAAATCTCAGAACTGTGATTGGGACAGGCAGCGAGAGAGTAGAAGCAAAAGAGACCAATTTAAGGTGTATTTTACTTGTGGCTGGGTGTCCAATAAATTCAGTGTTAAATTGAAAAACTCAGTCTCCCCTTCTCTCCTCCCTGTCTCCTAACCATCTGAGATATGTAGAGAGATCCCCACAACAGTTGAAAATGAACCTGCTGTCCTATGGAATGAGGAGAAATGGCTGCTCAGCTACTTCTGGCCTAGATTAATCGTATGTTACCAGTAAGAGTAAAAATTGACGTTGTAATTAGAGGCTGTGCAATTCAAACTGAACCTTGAGAATGCCTTTACCTGCACCATTCTGTCTCCCCCCCAAAAAATAATGATGAGATTTTTAGTTCACCTTCAAAATACCACAGTTCCACTCACACAAACTTTAACCAACAAGAATATTTTGCTAACACTCTGTTAAGCTCTCCTGGTCTAGTTTATTTTTCCACTGCTGCTGATCACCAGGATTGCATACATATTTACATGGAAAAACTTTGTCCCTTACAGCTGCGTTTCTTGTTTGTGCCTTATTCAGGTCTCAGTCTAGTGCCACACTAGCAGTTGTGGCATCATTGAATGAAACTGTGGAGAGTAAAAGGAGGTTGGTTAAAGAAGTGCAAATTTTGTTTGTAAACACCATGATACCTTGGTGATCCGCTCCGAGTAGTAAAATGAAGGACACATACAGGACTGTTTAACAGTGTGTGCAATCCTCAGTATTTATAACACACTGTTAGGGTGTGTTTACCCAGTGCATGGAGGGCATTGAGGAACATTCTCTGCATTAAATGATGGGTTTTCCCATCCTTGTTTTTTTGCAATGGCCCAGTGCTCTTTGTCACGAGTATGTTTCTAAGCAGAACCATTTTGGCACTTCCTCACACAGTACATCCTACTGTCACAATTGCACCAATGCATTCTGGGACTCCTGAAGCACCTGTTCTCCTTCAAGTGGCTCCTGCATATGCCCACTCCTGATGCACCAGCCATGTGTAGCTCAAATGTTAGGACCTTGCTAATGGTGTCCATTTGAGTGCTCATGCACTCCTCTTGCCATACTTTCCACACTGTATGGATGAGACTGTAAAAGGGGTGCGGTGTGTTAGCTCTCTTAGTTCCATCCAACTCTGTGCAACTGTGATAAAGTAGGAACCTACCCAGACCTCATGTTTGGATCTTTCTCTTAGATAATGCACAGTTAGTTACGAAATGCTAGTTTTAGATACAGTTACTGGTTTTAGTTTAATTAGCATTTTTTGTGTTAGATCGCATAGCATTCATAAGCTTTAGGTCTGTACTAAGACCTGATGGCAGATCCGAAAATAAAAACAAATAAAGCTTTAAACAATGTGGATTCTGCTCTTCAGTCTTTCTAGCTTTGGATGCTCATACACTGTCTTGCCTGCCTTAGTGAGGGACCTTCACCCTCCAGGTACTCCATCTGCAACATCTTTACCCTGAGAGTATAGAGGAAGGGACAGAATGGACAACAAGTAATTGTCATCGAGGAAGTGATTGCAGCTCTACCTGCCAGATTGGGTAATATGGTCGGTTCCAAGAAGTGATATACACCAGTCTTGGCACTGGACACATCGAAGGATGAGTCGATGACATAAACCTACATATCAGAAATCTATGGAGAGAACCGTCAGTGAGATGGCCATCCGTCACAGCCTCTGTGAGGAGAGCCAATCCACGAACGAGAAGCTCCTCGGATCCTACTACATTGGAGTCAAGTAGAGGACCATTGTGTAAAGACTCTGGAAGTAGAGCTAAGAAACACGCAGCTGTGACACCAAATCCAGCTGTTGTTCTGGTTGCCAGAGACTTTGATCCAGTAGGAAAATCGAAGGATCCAAAGATTCACTTATCAAGACAAAAAGAGGCAGCAAAAGTTAGTATCGGATCCGAGTATCTGTTCCGATTCCCTTACCCAACCTTCTCTGACGGTACTGGCACAAACCCATCATTCTGCTCCAATGCCGCCGCCTCAATCAAATTTAGAGAGAGAAGAACTACAGAAGAGAAGGAACTCCTCCTCTAGATTTGACTGTAGTAGGGAACAGAAGGGTAAAAGAACAACAAATGTCTTCTCCTCTTCCATCCCCCTAACACAGCATTGGGTTCCCCAGTAGGTTTCTTTCCTATATTGGGTCCACTACTATCTCCTCTTGGCTCCTGGTTGTGTCTGAGTGGCCGGTGCCGTCTTTGTTCTGTCCACCATTAAAGAGAAAATGATTGGGCTCTCAACCTTTCTCAGAGAACCCCCGTAGCGGGGTTGTATTATGAATTGGACCCAAATATGGACTACTGGCCTGATTGGAAAATGCTCCCATGGCACAGAGATCGTCTTATTGGTCAACTCCATCTTACTAACCAGATCTGCAGCACTAAGGGTATAGTGGACACCTTCAGTCACCAGCACCATTGGAACTAGGCCCTACAGAACTAAAGATACAGGATCTATTGATATCACATAGGAAAGGAGATCAGTCTCTCTTAAGCATGATTCTTTGTCTGATGTAGAGGAACAGATCACCCTTCAGGAGTTTAAAGAATTATATCCTGAAACTGACAATCTGATATCTCCTGAAGAGAACCTAGGTGTCTACGCTGTCACATCTCCATCAAAGGAGAAAGCAGCCTTTCAGATATTAGCTTAGTTTATATCATTTCCCAGGAGGGAATTTCTTTTTCATACTCTCCTGGTGCCAGTTTCCTTAGTAGTGGAAGCAGCTGTTTAAAGATCTAAGAGTGGTTCAGTTTACTTTACTCGTTTGGATAAACACAAAATGATGATGAATGAACTGGGAAGAACAGTTTTCTCTTCCGTGTAGAGCATAAGAGTTGTGAACTACCAAGTTTTTATGGCACATTACCAATACTGTCTTTGGAAGAAAATGTCAGCCTTTACTAAAAGTCTATGCCAGATGAACAAAAGAAACTTGTTAATGCTTTTGTTACAGAGAACCAGCAAGTAGTAGTAAAGGATGCATTGCAAGCATCTTTAGATTCTTCAGATTAGACAGCTAAAACTGTAGTATCTGCAGTTCCTCTTGGATGATATGTCTCGCTCAAATTTTCTAGACTACCCTGAGAAACTAAAGCTGATATAGAAGATTTTCCCTTTGAAAGAGAAGGCCTATTCAGGACCAAGACTAATGACTTTCTGAAGAAGATGAAGAAAACAAATTATGCAGCAAGACCTTTGGATGTTGATTAGCAAGCCCAGAGAAGACCAGGACTACCATATTTAGGTACCAAAGATAGCTTCCTTCATGGCCATCTTCCCTTTTTTTCCAGTACAGAGGAGATATTATTAGCAACAGCAATACCTTCCTCAACAGTCTTTCCAGCAGAGGAGAAGAAACTTCAAAACAAGGGCAAAAGGTAAGCAAACATCTTTGGCAGCTATAGTGTTGAACCTTAGCCCAGAAGTTTGAGGCATTTCATAAGGACTGCAATCAAATCTTGACCAACTGCTTACTTTTCCCTCTTCAGCGAGCTACTTTATCAATATTTCTACTGTTGGACTTCTATAACTATGGACAGGTGGATTTTAGAACTCATCCGCACTGGGTATTCAGTTCTATTTGAATACCTCACCTCTTCCAACTGACCCTCCCTGTTTCTGTTAAGGAGCCTCTCTCACAAAAACCTGTTAAAAAACGAGGTTCTGGCTCTGCTCAAAATGGGAGCTGTAGAAGAGGTACCAGGGAGATTCAAGGTGCACAGGATTTTATGCAAGGTATTTCATAATCCCCAAGAAAGATGGAGGCCTTTGACTGATTCTAGACCTTAGGAAACTCAATACATCTCTCAAGAAGTTCCATTTCCATATGTTAACTCTAGTTCTGTCATACCCTCCCTTTCTCCAAAAGATTGGTTTTCAGCCATTGATTTGAAAGATGCCTACTTTCACATTGCTGGAAGTCATGTATATCAGAAGTACTTTTGATTCACAGTGGAGAGAGGACTATTTTCAGTACAAGGGCCTTCCATTTGAACTTTCTCCTGTCTCATGGCATTTATTAAACGTCTATTGGCAGTGGCAGCTCACCTAACAAAAGAGGAATTTGTATTCCTGTATCTCGATGATTGGTTAATAAGGCCCATCAAATGATCATCTAGTCATTGCCATCCTTTGCATGTGTACTCTCTTCAGAAGTCTATTTCAGGATACACCAGAAAAAACCCCACTGTTACAGCCGTCTCAGAGAATTCCTTTCATAAAGGAGTATCAGAGTAACAGCCGTGTTAGTCTGTATTCGCAAAAAGAAAAGGAGTACTTGTGGCACCTTAGAGACTAACCAATTTATTTGAGCATGAGCTTTCGTGAGCGACAGCTCACTTCATTGGATGCATACCGTGGAAACTGCAGCAGACATTATATACACACAGAGATCATGAAACAATACCTTCTCCCACCCCACTGTCCTGCTGGTAGTAGCTTGTCTAAAGTGATCATCAAGTTGGGCCATTTCCAGCACAAATCCAGGTTTTCTCACCCTCCACCCCCCCACACACAAACTCACTCTCCTCCTGAAAGCTCATGCTCAAATAAATTGGTTAGTCTCTAAGGTGCCACAAGTACTCCTTTTCTTTTTATAAAGGAGTATGTAGAGGCCACTCAAAGGAAAAATGAAAGTTACTTGTAACCAAAATTCTTTGAAGTGGGACTCTGCATATTCACACCCCCAACTCACCTTCCCCTCTTCCTTGGGAGTCTTAATTATAACCTGGACCAGAGGAGGTGGTGGGAAGGAACTGAGGTGGCCAGAGCTCCAAAAGGCTCCACACTCCAGAAGGCATTTCTAGCTAGGTTCCACCATCTGAGCTGTACGTGGCTAGTGCATCTCATGAATATGTAGCATGTGTCTTGAAGAACGTCATTTACAAGTAACCAATGTTCATTTTCATAGTGCTTGGTGTCATTGCTGAGAGCAAGGACTTTGGGACAGTTTCAAAATATCTAGATTTTACTCGTTCCTCTAGATTTGATCTAAAGACCATCCTAGGCAATGCAGACTGCTAGGACAACCAACACTAGAACGTTGCTTGGTGTGGGTGTTGTGTGTGGATGCACGAAGTTGTACCAGTGTAGCAAGCTGAAGGGTTCCATTCAAGAATGTGTCACAATGGCTCTTCACCTAATATAGATAGGACTTGAGAAATCTGACATGGAAGTACTTTTATTTGCTGTGTGTTTTTTTGCTCTCTGTCGGCCATCATTCCTTGTCACAAGTCCAGCTTGTGAATGCTGGACTGCTGTCATTGAATATTCTTTACGAATAAAACCTTTTGTTTTTGAAAGGTCAAGGAATACTTCCATAACAAATTACACTGACTTGAACAAAGAAGTGCTGAAGTTGTGTGGAAGGGAAGAAAAGTGAAGTCCAACTTTTAGGCCTTAACCGTCTTGCCAACATTGCTTTAAATTTTATCTAGATGGTTATTTTTTTCCATTGGTGAGCTGTAGAATTCACTCTTGTTTACTATGTAGGGTTTTTAGCATGCTAATCTCTCTCCCACTTTCCTTTCCCCCTCCCCGCCTCCCTGTCCCCCCACCACCACCACACACTTTGTCATTGGGAAATCGTACATTATACATTGTCTGTTTGTGTTCCAGTTGTACATGTATCAGCTGTTCCGGAGTTTAGCCTATATCCATTCCTTTGGAATCTGCCATCGGGATATAAAACCACAGAACCTCTTGCTGGACCCTGATACAGCTGTCCTAAAACTCTGTGACTTTGGAAGGTAAGTCTGTCTCTTTGGCCTGGTCTACAGTACACGTAACACTTATACTGGCATAGCTAAATTACTTAGGGATGTGATTTTTTGTTATAATTATGCCAGTATAAGCCCTGATGTAGACACACTTATGTCTGTATAAAGGTGCCAGTATACCGTATGTCTCTTTGGGTTCTACAGAATCACTTTTATGCTAGTATAAACTGTCTCTACACTAGAAGGGCTTGCCAGTGTAGCTATGCCAGCAGTGTTTTTCTAGTGCAGACAAGCTCTTTGTATTCTAAAGCCTGGTTAAAACTAATTTATCTGAAGAGAACCATGACTTAATTCGTCACAGAGACTTTTTATATTATGTAAGACAGAATCTAGATAGGGTTCCCTTCTAGCTGGGAAAGGGTGAGCACAGAGGCTTTCTTCGTGCGTGTGTGTGTGTATATATAATTAACTCAGAGAGAGAAAGGGATTGCGTGAATGCAAGAGGATTCAGAAGAAGGGGAATTAAAAAATCAAAATAAGAAATTGTATAGGTATGTTTTAAGAAAATAGTATACAGATGTGTAGAGAAAATATAGTGGCTAAGAAAGAACAGCTATCCGAGTTTAACTATTGAGTGATGGGTGTGATACAATAACCTCAATAGAAAAATATAATGCTAATCCAGTACTTCTTGAATATGTATGTTTGTTTATACCAATTAGTATAGTGTTTCAAATACTAAAGGACTTAATCAGCCAGAGATAATAGACTTTTAATGAAGGGTCTTAGATACTGGGATTTACAAGGCTTTTGTCTAAAGCAGTGGTTCCCAAACTGGGGTTTGCGAACCCCTGGGGGTTCACAGAACGTTACTGGGGGTTCACCAGAAAAATTTCACTAATGGCGGCCAGAGGACCCTGGGCATTGGAGGAAGCAGGTGGGACCTGGTTGCAGGGCAGACAGCCCGAGCCCCAGGGAGAGCGGGGCCGGGCAGTTGGGGCTGGCAGCCCAAGTGGGGGAGCTGGCAGCATGAACCCCAATGCTCTGCGTGGGGCTGGCAGCCCGAGCCCCAGGGGGAGCAGGTCTGGGCAGTTTGGGCTGGCAGCCCGAGCCCTGCCCCCGTCAGCGTGGGAGTCGGCTGCCCGAACCCCAGCGCTCTGTGTGGGGCTGGCAGCCCGAGCCACAGGGAGAGTGGGGCCGGGCAGTTGGGGCTAGCAGCCCCGGCGGTCAGTGGGACCTGCAGCCCGAGCTCAGTTGACGGGGGTCCAGCAGCAGGAGCCCCACGGAGTGCGGAGGAAATTTTAGACTTAAATCCCTGGAAATATTCATTTTTAGGAGGGGGTTCACGAAATTTCACAATTTAGCGAAAGGGGTTCGCAGGCTGTTAAAAGTTTGAGAACCACCGATCTAAAGTCACATTCTTTTTCTGGTATCCATAGAGCAGAATTGTCACTAGATGCTTAAAGCTGTAAATCTCTTTATATGGGCAAGATCACTGGTAGAAGTCAGGAATCCACTTCCTTTCTCTGTGAGTCCCTTCCCCAAAATGCCCTTTAGCTGTAGTAGACTGAAGTTAACTGGGAGAGTGTGTGTGTAAGAGATGTCACCAGAGCAGTTGTTGCTAAACGAGCTTGGCCACTGTAAATTGGAACTTCGGTTGTTTGAAGTGCTATAGATTCATGCCCGGTGGTTCCTTCAGGAATCTTCTCCCTGAGATTGTAACAGGAGATTGGTAAAATAAGAATGATAGACGGCAAAACTTACTTTAATTTTGCCTGTAAAAAACCACTATTTAGCTACATAGGATGCTCCATGGAAAAAATGGGAGTTTCCGATCAGGTTAAATGAGAGAGACTAAATATTCTGGGATTTTTTGGGGGGTTTTCAGTGAAACTGAGCTTTTGATTTGAATTGCTTCCACAGCATATGGACAGCATCAGATTACCAACTCTTTAAGCTGCATTGCTTTTTTGAATGATGATGATCCAACTCAAAGTGCATGTTGAAGTCTAACTCACATGTTTGAGACACAAAAATCTTTTTAAAAGATTACAATACATGACGCTAACACCAAAGGAGAAGGAATTAATGACCTGAAGGCAAAACAGGGAGAATGCTACTTTTAGATTTTGACAGATACTAAATGTCTTGTCTGCCCCCCTCCAGAAAAAGCCCCACACCAATTAACCCATATTGCTATCATTTAAAAGCAAAGTAATCAGGAGCATTCAATAGAAGCTCTTTGTTAGATTGGGCTAATTTCTGAAACCTGGAGTGAATCTTCTCTCAAGAATGTACATTGGGGTTTCATACTGTCCAGAAGACCGCAGAAGGAGAATTAAAGATAGAGAAAACTAGGGGATGAGTTGGGAAGGGAGAAGATAAATCCCTAGATTTGCATCTAGGACGAGAGTGGTCAAATATCCAGTGAAACACAAAATGTACAATGTTTCAGTATATGTTGAAAACATGGCTTTGGAAGTTTACATTTCTACTTATTTAATTTTGCAAAACCCTTTTATTTAGAATCTAAATGGTTAGTATGAATTACATTGATGTGCCTTTAGAGCAACTGGAGCAGCCATAGTAGTAACTTAGTGCCCTGCCATGTGCGGGAATCTTCATTTGGATCTGAGCTTCTCCTATTGTCCCTTGATTTTATATATGGTTGTGTTGTACAAAAAGATGCTGTGGACATAGCGCAGCTGTGTGTGTTGTAATCATTTCAGCTGTGTGGTACAAACTGGTTACAAAACCATGATTATACTGAAGTGTAGATAGCACTAGCCTCTGTTTGCCAGAAGCTGGGAATGGGCAACAGGGGATAGATCACTTGATGATTACCTGTTCTGTTCATTCCCTCTGAAGTACCTGGCATTGGCCACTGTCGGAAAACAGGATACTGGACTAGATGGACCTTTGACCTCTGACCCAGTATGGCCATTCTTATATCTTCTAAAAGCTACTGTGGTTCACACTTTGCTTCTACTGCCCACCCCATATAATGTTGTCCATCTATAGCAGCTAAAGCTGTGGGAGTACAGTAGACAATAGAATAGATACGTTCATTGCCTGATGTTGCAAATTAAACTTCTTGAGTTCCTTCATTTTCTTTGGTGGGGGGATATTACCTGAGGTGACTGCTGCTTTGGCAGAGGCAATTCTACGGTAGTTTAGGGCCCAGGCGGGCATTGTGCAATGCAGACAAAGCCTTAATGTTAAGTTAGGGCAGAGCCCACTTTCAGGTGCCTGCAGCCTGCTCTTTCTCCTATTCGTCCCAGTACAAAAAATAAAAATAACCTACCATGCCTTCCTAAGCAGTATAGAACCAAAGGAGTGCTGATGTGGTCATAAAGAAAGGTGATATTTAGGTTTGACTGAGTGAGTGGTAGGGGGTTTTGAACCTCAACAGCTGACTAAATTTGACTGAACCGTACTCTGTCCAGCCTTTATCCTCTGTAAATAAATCTTTGCACCCAGCAAAGTAGTAGAGTGTTATCCAGGAATATGAACCTATTTGTCCACTGGATTGTGCTCAGGATGTCCTTTGGCATGGCCAATGTGTTATCATAAGGTAACTGGCTGTTGGGTTGAATTGATTTGACAGGTAAAAAAAAAAAAAGACTTTGTCACATGCATCTATGACGGGTTAGTCCCCTCCTTCCGGGATGCCACCTGATGTACTGGGGTTTCACTGAGCCTCTCCTGCTCGACCAGCCTGGGTTCCCTCTCCCTGCTTTGCTGAATTTGGCTCTCCGGCCTCTTGCAACACATGCACACAGGTAGGGCAATACCCCACTGCAGACACAGACTGAAGTCAGCTCTGTGTGAGAGGACTCACCCAGCACTCACATGCACACCCATTTTGGGAGATAAACCCAAAATAATACTGTCTTGCACTGTATAGAAAAATCTGCACCGCGCAAGCTCATAAAATTTCACCCTCTTCGTCAGTGTGAAGAGAGATGTGCACTACTTCTTGTCCCCCCGGTTAGAAATTACGTAAACTCGGTTTAATAATAAACAAAACAAATTTTATTAACTATAAAAGGCAGATTATAAGTGATTAAGGGATAGCAAACAGAACAAAGCAGATTACTAAGAAAATAAAACAAAACATGCAAAGTAAGCTTGATTCACTAAAGAAACAGGTTACAAAATGTAATTGCTCACCCTAAATGTTGAATTAGGGTGCAGAGTTTCTGTAGCTTAGAGTTCCAGTTATTTCTTCTTACAGACTTGACCCCTGCCTTTCCCTTCAGGTTAGTTTCTTTGTCCCTTCAGTTTCTTCAGCAGTCCTTCTTCTTGGGTAGGCAACGGAGGAGAGTCCCATTTGCCTTCCTCCCCACCCTTAAATAAGATTTACATAAGGCGGGATCTTTTGTTTCCCATACTTGACCCCCCTCTCCTTTTAGTGGAAAGTTACAAGAAGTCCAAGATAATGTTTAGTATCCGGTGACAAGACTACCTGACCTAGTAGGGTCACAGCTTTGTCCCAGGACGCCTCCCAGGAAGGAGAGAGATTAGTGTCTTGTTGTTTCTTCCTAATGGCCCATCAAATCTGGTGGCCTGTTATCTGGTGGGTGTCTTCCCAATACACACCCTGTTGTAATTGTTACGTAGTCCATATTCCTAACTTTAGGTACAGAAATGACACAAGCATATAAATTGGATAATCGCATTCTCCAATGATATCTTACGTGAGCCATCTTGCATAAAACATCTTAGTTATGCCATATTCATACCATAACAATATTTCTATGAAGAATATGGGATGTAATGTCACAGCATCAATACAGAAGTAGTTTGGAAATGGGGGTGGGGGGAGAGAGAAATAAAACTAAGTTTGCCTATGCTGAAGTGTGGTAAAATCTTCTGTCACTGAAGATTTCTGTTTTGCTTCTATCTAGTGCAAAGCAGCTGGTTCGCGGAGAACCTAATGTCTCATACATCTGCTCTCGGTACTACAGGGCACCAGAGTTGATCTTTGGAGCCACCGATTATACCTCCAGTATAGGTATGTATATCTTTTTGTGTATTGTTCTCTGTACTGACTGCACTGTTTTTGATTGCTTTTATTGTGGACAAAATAGATTTATAAATAAGTTTATAACTGTCCCAAAGTGCTCAAGTGTGACCCTTGAAGGGAGGACCTGGTTATAGGTGGTCAAAGATGGTTCTTAAAATAAATGCATGTCCATTCATCTTTCTGAAGTTATCACTACATGATTTTCTAGCTTCTAGACTTCCGTGTGGGTTGGGAGGTTATTCGTGTTTGGCTAAAAGTCAAACTTCAAACAGTTTTTTTTTTTTTTTCCAGCTGTCCAAACAATTTCAGTGGAGCAGTTTTCTTGCTCAAGTGTTTGGTTGAATTTTATTAAGTATTTTTAATAAGAATGAAAATGGAGTTGGGTGTTGGCTTTACAGTCTCTTGGAAAAACTCTGGGCAAGGATCTGTGTACTTTATAGGACATTAAAAAGTCTCAACAATTTAAATCAAATATGATAATGAATAATATAATCCGTGTAATAACCCCATTTGTTTGTTTTGATATTCAACTTATTTTATGCTGTCCCCCACACCTCAAGTTTTCAAAATGTCAAGGATTATTTTTTTTGTTTAGATAACTAATAACTGCATCATAGAAGCTGTCAAGAAAGCTGGCACTTTCATTAGCCAGAGAGTGAAGACTTGGGGCTTCTGGTACCTGTGGAGGCATAGGAGGCAGGAGATTTCTACTAAAAATGAACAGCAATGAAATCGCTAACACTGTTGGTAGTTTTGGTTTTTAAATCACAGAATACATAAGGACCCTGTCTGTGGACTGGCATTAAAGGGATCATAATTCAGATCTCAAGCTTCCTGATCTGGGGACTTACTATGTCTATTCCAAGTGGTTGTGAGTGTTTTGCATTTCATATGGGCCTTGTCTGCACTAGGAGAAGGAGGTGCTTTTAAAAACATACTAGTGATCACATTTTAAAATATTTCTTGGTACCTACTGTAGGCAAGATGTAAAACCTTTAAAAATGTTAGGAAGTCATGGTCAAGCATGGGAAGAGTCTAGAATTGACCGTAACCAGTTAGCATATTTTAAGGGTGTTAAGCCCTGTCATACACCAAGTGCTTAGTGGTGTTTAAAAACTAATTAAAACAGGTTAGCTGATATAATTTTAAAAAACATCTTTTTTCCTAATCTAGACAGCCACAAGCAGCACCCCTTGGCTTTTGCTTAGACCTATGATGAATCCGGTGGAAATACAAGCACTTAGTTTCTAAAGACTGCACATATCCTTGCTACTTTTCTCCCAAATGAAGTGATCCACCTGTATGTGACACAACCATACATGATACCACAGAGGATTCATGAACAAGCATTACGTGTAGAAGTAATCTGCGGAAACTATTACTCTGTTTTCAGGCAAATGTTCTGTTGTAATGAAACAAATATTGTAGGCGCCACTAACAGAGACGGTTATAAAGTTGAAAAACACTTCTCATTTAAAGTCTTTCTACGTGAGAGTGCTTTTCAGAACTCTCACCTTTTCTGAAGCCTTTCCTGGTAATGTTTTCCATGCTTGATTTTTCTTTGGAGGTGAATTTTTGTTTGAAAGTTTGAACCAAATCTGTGCAAAATTTTTGGAGTTCTGGGCACATTAAACACAGTAAAAATATTCGTTTGTAAGTGCTGTTGTAGAGATTGATAAATATGAAAACAATCTGCATGAAATTGACTGTTAGCATTTAACTTGAAAAATAATACACAGCAAATTCTTGCTTCCCTCCATCTCAAGCCCCCCCAACCAAAAGAATCCTTACCTTCATGGAGAGGAAAAAGTTTAAAATTATAGGCATATCCTGAAAATTTAGTCTCTTGAGTTTGGCTGCATTTTGCAAAATACTACACATTTGGGGCTTGCATTTTTTTAACCCAGTGCAAAGAGTCTTCACAAAGTAAACAGATATACAGCTGCCCAGCTCAAAAACTCTTGACAGGCAAAACAGCAGCAGCAAAAGTGGGAACTCACCCTCCCTTCCTTCATTGGCTTCAGAGAGGCGTGAACTTCAAAGCCAAACTGAAACTATTTACATACCAGCATAAAAGCACAGATCGTTTTTGTTAAAGGGAAGAGAAAAAAATTAAATCTTTCAAAAGAGTCATTAATGTGTCATTAATATTGCACAGTTTAAATAACAGAAAAGTCAGGAAATGGTCCAGCACTTCCAAAAACAGTATTAACTTGGCCACATTGAACATATGTATATGTTTTCTTTTCCTGTTTTTCTAATTGAATGTGTAGCATAACCCTGTTCTTTTGGTAGGATAGAATGGATCCTGTAAACATACAGTCTGGGCAACAAAACCAAGTAAATACTGCTATCAGAATCTTAATTTTTACACTTTCTGACTTTTAACTGGTCCTGCTTAAAGTTATATTAACTTATTTTATTGCATTTAATAATATATAACCAGAAGTATGTTTCAGGGGTAGAATGTTTTTTTCAAGGTTATCCATGAGGCATCAGCTACTCTTGAACGATAGTGGTACTTCTGAGTGCAGCTATAGTAACACGATATAATGCAGCAACCATTGGAACTGCCCCTGTTCCAGATATGCTTCTCAAACCCCTTCTGTAGCTCTGCATGTGAATCTGTGCATAAAGAACAGACATAAATGTACAATGACACTATGATGGCACAAGAGCAACAGTGCAGTCTCAGTGCATCACACCCATGTCAGCGGTTGGTTATGATGTTCTTCATTGTAACTAACGTGTTCTAGTCTGCCTGTTTTCAGTATCTAGGTTGTAGTCTACCTGTCAGCTATTTATAGTCATCATGACTGACCTGGACATATGAGAATCTAAGTTTTGGTACAAAATAGGTCTTTTTTGACTGTAGAGATCAGAAACAGAAATATAAACAGTCTCTTTAAAAAGAAAAAAATATCCTCAAAGTGCATGACTTCAAGGAAGTTTATGGACTACAATCTAAAAATGACATGTTTTTAAAAAGCCCTACAGATGCATGAATCCTGTAAATGACCACATGATATTGTTATCACCTTCATCATCACTGTGTCCCTCAATCTCTGTGTTTGTCATCTCTCGTCCTTATCTTATGTTGTAAGTTCCTCTGCACTGACACTCCATTTCAGTTTTGTAAAGCACAGTGCAAATTTATGATATTGTATAAATAAGGCTGCGTGTCTATCACGGAGGTCATGGATTTCATGACGTTCTGTGACCTCCGTGACTTCTGCAGCGGATGGTGTGGCTGGCTCCAGGGTTGCTCGGGCAGCTGCACTGTCTGCTGCTGGGGCAGTCTCTGGCCACCGCGCTCTCCTCTACCTCCCCCCCCCACCCCCGCAGCAGAAGTAGTTTGGGTGTGGAAGGGGGCTTGCGGGTGTGGGAGGGGGCGGCGCTTACCTCTGGGCACTCCCCTGAAGCGGCCAGCATGTCTCTGGAGCTCCTAGGCGGAGGGGCCAGGGGCCTCTGCGTGCTGCCCCTGCCTGCAGGCACCGCCCCCGCAGCTCCCATTGGCTGCGGTTCCCAGCCAATGGGAGCTGTGGAACCAGTGCTCGTGATGGGGGCAGTGCGTGGAGCCCCCCGGCCTTCCTTCCCCCTAGGGCCATGCCAGCCGCTTCCGGGGAGCCGCGCAGAGCTGGGTAGGGAGCCTGCCAGCCCCGCCCCAACCCCCGCAGCACCAGTGGTGGTCCCGGGCCGCTGCCCCTCCCCTGCAGCACCCGCGACACACCCGAGGCCAGCCCTGCAGAGCACCCCCAACCCAAGTTTTAGTTAGGGTTATATAGTACAAGTCATGGACAGGTCATGGGCCCTGAATTTTTGTTTACTGCCCATGACTTCTACTAAAAATACCCGTGACTAAAATATAGCCTTATGTATACATAATTACTGTTTTGGTGCTGATTCTTATTACAGGTAGATGCCTCAGTAGATCATCCAACAGACCTGATTATATTATTTAAGTAAAGAATTAGACAGTTACTTATTCTAGTCTTTAAAGTAATAATTGTTGTCAGCATGGACAAAGGTAGATAAGAAACAGGTTAGTAATGAAGCTGTGTGTTATGTGAATAAGTGTGTCTACACTACAACTTTTAACAGACATTTTAACGGTATAGCAGCTGAGTGAGCTGTAAACCTGGCTTATTACTACAGGCACATGGCCAGTACTTAGTAACCATGGCAACTAACAGGATTTTGCCCTGACAAGTAGTTTAGCTGGCAGGTGGTTGTCGTCTTGTAACCATTTTGCGAGAGGTTCTCCCCCCCTCCTCCCCCCTTTTGCGGTGTATACGCTATCCCTTAACTGTGTATGCCCTTTCGTGGCTGCACCTTCCTTACAGTTCTCTGTGTCATAGGGCAACCCAGTGTGAATTGCACCCTATGTACTATGGGAGAGCTTCCCAGATATTCCCAGAACATACTGATAGAGTCAGGAAGTCTGGTGGGGTGAATGCACAAACACATGATTGTTGTTGTGAAAAGAGCTGCTGTGTGAGCACAGCTTTGTGTATTTGTAACCAGGTCAGATGAATTTGTCATGTATTGGTTACAAAAACACAGTTGTACATGTAGTGTAGCCAGACCCTTTGAGTCTCTAGTGCAGTTCCTCACTCACTGAGCTAGCAGGGGATTGGGAGCATTCCAGAGTGAACATTTACAGCCACTGGCAGGGGAAGATTGATCTGTGTGGTCATATCACAGACTTCTGTTGTGGCTATCCAAAACCAAGAGGTCATTGAGAGTAGTTGTCTTTTTCCTAGAGAGCAATAAGGTTGTGAGGGAGAGTGATAGACTCTTTAAAGAAAGACTCTGAAAAATATCTCCTATAGGGGTGCTAGAACAGAGGGATGGCAATGAGACTTTTGTGAGCAGTCACTTTCAAGGTAAAGCATTTAGCCCCAGCTGCCACACTAATGAGATACGGTTTCCTTCCACACCTCATCAAGCAATAATTTTCAGTGCTGAAAATAAGTATGTGCTAACCT